GGTTCTTCATTTGCTTTCATTTAGTGAGTAAAAAAACCTTTAAAATATTAATTATTGTAGACCTTGTCACTGATTTTTAAAGTTTACTTTTGTGAGATTATCAGTACTATGATGCAAAAATGCTTCCAGTGAATATTATTTAAAAAACTTAATCAAGGTTTTGAAAGATGATTGTAGGTCCTAGTATCTCTACTCATATGTCAGATGTGTCAGCTGTGACTTTATTAACTATAGGCTGCCAGAGTAGCATGCTCACAGTGTTAGGTTTGCAGAGCTGGAAGCCTACATATTTATTCCTACGTCTTCAATGAGAAACGAAGAATAAGCTCATTTCACATACTTCCCTAGGGAAATTATTTGGAGTTCCTATTTCTATATATAGAATATATTCTATATATTCTATATATAGTACATTTTAAGAAAATAATTATCATTAATTGTGCTATATAGATTTTAAGGGAGATAAACCCTATGAGTGGAGAAACAGTATTTATGATGCATTTTCAGTTGTACAGTTTTTAGGATAATTTTCAGTTGTAACAGTATTTAGGATAATTTATAGTTGTACTGCCTGCAGCCATTCTGTTATAAATTAGTTCAAAGTTATGACTGCTAGCATGTACGTTTTCATGCTGCTGTGATTCGGCCTTCATTCTCTACAACTTTCTCATGCTTGGTGTTACCAGGTCATCAAAGGAGGAAGTAGAAACCCTGGGACATGCACAAGACGGTGACATTGACAGTGGCTTCTTTTAGTAGTTATTCTACAAACCTCTACTCAGTCCATCAGCTGTATTTCTCTAGACATCTTTTATTCCTCAGATCTACATACATTCTAAAGTAGCTTGATTTTTATTTTGAAATGAATGTTCATTATTTTCAAATAATCAGTTTTGATGTATAGGTAAATGTGTTTTTTCTCTGTAAAGTATAATAGTTCACAGGAAACAAAGAGCTTTAAAAAATTTTTTGGTGCCAGAGGTGTGGTTCAAGTGGTAGAGCAACGTGAAGGCCTGAGTTTAAAACCAAGTTCCACCAAAAAAGAAAGAAACGGAAGGCTGGAGATATGTAGCTCAGTGGTAGAGCATTTGCCTAGCATGTATGAGGCCCTGGGTTCAATCCCAAGCACTGGAAAGATTAAAAAAAAAGTTCATGAGACCCTATCTCAAAAATACCCAACACAAGACGGGGCTGGTGGAATGGCTCAAGCGGTAAGAGTGCATATGTGAGGCTCTGTTCAAAGCCCAGTACTGCCAAAAAATCAAAAAATTCTTTCTGGCAAGTGAGCACAAGTTAGCCCCAGAAGGGCGGATCTTGTCTGCTGTTGTGTCCCAAGTGCTGAATGTCTGGCACAGTTAGATGTACAGTGCATATTAGAATAAAATTGGTTGAATTTATAAATAGTCCATTATTCATTTGGAATAGTAAACCTTCAGGAGTTAAACGTTTAGATGTTTGGGGTTTTTTGTGGGGGTGGAAGCAACCACTTTGCACTTACTAGTTAGTAAAGCTGGTTTAACAGCTGAACAAATCGCCATTGTACTGCATGTGAGCCTTGTGAAGGAGGCAAATATGAAAAAGATTAAAATTAAGTAACAAACACAAGGTTTTAGTGTAAAGTCAGTTGCTCTTTTTCTGCTGGAGTGCTGTGGGTATCTAGCAGAGCAGTCCAGCTCTGGTGGAGGGGCAGCTTCATAGCCCATCTGATAGCTCCACACCATAGGAGCCAGCATGTCTGACAACTCTCCAGCGAGTTTCTAGGTCCCTAGTTTAGGGATGCCAAAAGTATGATGTCAGGTCTTTACAGTTCTCCAGGCCATGTGCAGTGTACCAGGCAGGGTCATTTTAATTACATACCATGTTGCCTAGCAATAAAGTTGTTAGGTTGTCAGGGCAACAGAGCTTGTTAGGTAGTGAAGGTTGTGTTTTCATAAGGAGGAAGGTGGTTGGGTAGCTTTTTGGTTTACAGCTTTGTTCTTCATTATTCTTGGATTGCTACTTTGCACAGAAGTTTGACAGGCTCTGCTAATCCTCAGGTGCAGGGATGGGTAAGTGAGCAGGTTGCAGATATGCATGGATTTAAGTCACCTGACAAACAACAAAAAGCCCTGCAATCCCCCCCCCCCCACCAATGGACTCCTCTAGGGACTTGCATGCCAGATCCATCCCCTCATTCCTCACCCACCCCATCAGCACCATCCAGGGGCAGGCCTGAGGTCTCCTGGATTGGGGATCTGGGGGTGTGTGGGGATCAGAGTATTAATGAGCCCTCTGGTGACTGATTAAGCAAGACCTGGAGGCATAGAGTCAAATGAAGAGCTGTTCTGAGAGCCTCTGCTGTCTGGAGAGAGAGGCAGATGTGAAAACAAAATTCTGTGTTATGATGTAGTCAGTCACATGTTAAAATAGAAGCACAGGTAGGAGCACCTACCTGGAAATAATGACTGTGATAAAAGACAAGCAAGCCTAGAGACACTTGCAGACAAGAGGGAGAGGAGTGTCTCAGCATGAGTGTGGTCCTGACTGGACACTGTACTTTGGGTGGTGCACAGACTTGGGGTCAAGCCAACTGTGGTGTGTAGACTGAGAACCCAGCCAGTTCCAGACAAACAACTCTAGTAGACTTTTAGTGCACAGTGGTTAATGTTTCCAGTGGTTCCTAGATAGGAAGGTAACTTGGGTTTTGCACAGAGTTGTTTTTAGTTATGTAGATTTTTCAAAGGTGCACTTTAAAGGCCACAGTGTTTCAGTTCAATTAATTATTTGCAAAATTAGTCTCAACTGACATTTTCACTGAGTCCATTAAGAGTAAAGTATTTATTTTCACGGAACATTTAAAAAGGTTAGTTTGTATAAGTTGAGTTTTTGATACGACTGAGGTGTTATGTCACCCTAACAATCTATCAAGTAATTCAAGTTAAACTCAATTTAGTAACAGATGCTGAACAACACACTGAATGAATGATTACATAATTATCAAAAACAGCATGGTAGGTGGCTCATCTGTGAATGGTTTGAAATCAGCCTTTTGGTGAAAATGTTAACTGTGGCCAAGTGCTCTCCCTCTGGAGCTACTACCCAGCCTTTTCTTTGTATTTTATTTCTGAGATAGGATTTTGCTATCTTTGCCTGTGCTGGCCTTGAACTTTCTATCCTTTTGAGTAGCTGGGATTACCAGTGTGAGTTTCCACACCTGGTTAGAGGAGTCTTTCCTTATAGTAGCCTCAATCACCGCTCCTCAGATTACTGCTCATTGCTGTTGCTCACTGCCTCCTTGCATTTGCTTTTGCTACCACAGACAGCCTCCTTCCATCTCTGTGAATCCATTCGTGTTCCTGAGAGGAAATCCAGTGTGGGTTGGGAGGTCATGCCAAATCAGCTTGAGGGCACAAGAGAGTGGGTGTATCCAGCTTTCTTGAGTCAGCAAGGGAGAGGAGGGATGGAGCCACGTTGTACAGTGTTTCTACCCCGGCTAAGACGTATCTGCATAATGTGTCCAGTAGGATTATGTAGGCTTGCTGGGTTCCTGCAGACGTGTTGGCAGCTGTGAAGTATCTGACCCATGTCACCCACACTGTTCTATTGGCATGAGCTTTCCTTAGCTCGAGTAGTATCGCCACATTAGTAAAGCTATGTTGGCCCGTCAGCTTTGTGGTGTAGTAAGTATGCTGTTGGGATCCCCTTGCTAGGACGTGCTGCTGGAGTGGTGTGTACTGCAGTACTGAGCTGCTGTAAGAGTGCAGTCACCACATCAGGCATATGGTTGCCTGATGAATTTCGGATTATAAACGCACTATCAAGCATAGGATTTAATGGTAAACTTATCTATATTTGTTCATACAGTACATTTGGGAAGACACACAAGAAACTGGTCCTTGATTGCCCCAGGTTGAAGGTCTGAGATGGCAGATGTATTATTCCACCTGAATCTTATACCATGTATAAGAGTTACCTAAGCAGTAGTAAAGAAGGTCAGGTGTGGTAGTGTGATTCTATAGAATCCCAGCTTTCAGGAGGCAGAGGTAGGAGGATCATGAGTTGGAGGCCAGCCTGGGCTACATAATGAGTCCTTTCCTCTAAAAAAAAAAAAAAAGTAAAGCATTAACAAGTGAAACAAAATCCACAAAGTAAACAATAGCAAAGAGGAAGATAAATGGCAAGGCAGTTCATTGCAGATATGATTTCAAGCAAATATGATCTGGTGACCTCAATGTGGGTTTCTTTTCACAACTGGCATCTTGATTGATGTCCAAATTTTGTTACAATTCTTCTCCATGTGGCAGTTATATTCTGATACTTTTACCATGGTGTTGTTCCAGTTTCACATGATGTAGGGGAGTTGCCAGGTCCCCTCTCCCACCTCTCTCTCTTCTCCTCCTCCCTCCCCGTTCTCTTCCTGTCTTTCTTTTCACCATGCTAGGTGGAACCTGGGGCCTTGTGCTTACCACTGAGCCAGTCACCAGCCTGGAAGGTTTCTTTTTGACATGAGTTCTGTTCTTTTTTTGTGGTTGTGTAGCCAAAGCTGGACTCGAACTCACTATGTAGCCCAGGCTGGCCTTGAACTCTCAGTTATCCTGCCTCAGCCTCCAGAGACTGGGATCATAAATATGCTTCAGCATGCCTGGCTGTGAGTTCTGTTCTCGATCTTGAGTGAAAGTGAGAAGTGTTGATCCACGAATGAAGGGATCATGGTGATTTATGAGTAATCCACCATGAAAGATTATTAAGAAGATTTTTTGAGCTACTTTATTTTATTATTATTTTTTTTCTAGCAAGGGGGATGGAAATCCAGGGCTTGGCGCATGTGAGGCAAGTGCTGTATCTTGAGCTACTCCTCCAATCCCCTAATCTATATGGATGGTAAAGAATTTACTCAAAACTCCAAGCAAATTTTCATGTATAAAGTCTGGTTGACTAAATTCATTCTTTATCTTTCATTTTGAAAAGTTTTAGCAAACCTCCAGAGCTATGACAGGTTTCTTTTCTCTGTTACTCTGCAGCCGGCCTCAGAAGGTATGTCTGTGCCCGTTTCTGCCTTCATGTCCTCTGCCCATCTCCACCCACGTGTACATCGTACAGCATCCCGCAGAGGTGAGTTGGGCTCCTGGTTACTCGGCTCACACAGGCTCCGAGTGCAGAAGACGAAGCACTGCAGCTCTTCTGAAGAGAAATGGATGGTAAATGGCATGCTTTGTGTTGTATGACAGGACCACATGTGGGGACATCATGGCTCATGAGAATCATGTTGCTGAGTCATAGAGATACTTAGAACCAAACAATTTGTCTGAAGAGGAGACACAGCTCTGTGAAGAGAGTGTTGAGGAAGTTGTTGCTATTCGAGTTTTGGCTAGCCCAAGTTCCTTGTTGGCTTTTCTTGCTGAAGTAGAGGTTTCTTTGGCATTTACTCTTACAAAGTGATTAGAGTAAGGTGTTGTTTCTAGGTGAATAGAACAAATGTATCTATGTTGTAATGTATCTGTTTGCTGTAAAACCTTTTTAGGAATCCTTTCCTGTTCTGTTTGAGTGACACATGTACCTGTGCATGTTTGTACCTCTGGGGGACAGGGTCACTGGAAACTGAGTTGCAGTCCACAGGATGCTGGTCTGTAGTGGACGCGTGGATGCATGGCATGGTGGAGTCAGCGTTCAGGACCTCAGCATGTCCAAAGCCAAACTGGCTGGTGAAGAAGGAGTATTAGTTCTTAGGTTTTGGAGCCTGCACTATGGAGTGTAAAGGGAATTATTTGTCTTTTCCCTTTTCCAAATGTGGAAGCACTTCTCCTGTGATTGCAGACTGTTGAGTCAGACCTAACCTCATGCCTTCGTCAGGATTCTGACATTGTGGTCCTGGGATCATTTTACTCCATATGAACTTGCAACATTCCGAACGTCATGAAATGTTAGTTTATTGGCCACAGTAGTTTGGGTTAAAACCTGAGTTTTGGTGGCACATGATGTTTGATTTTATACATGTTATGGTGCCTTTTCTTTCCTGGTCCCAGACATGGATGCTTTTAAAATGTAGGCATTTTCATTGACTTGAGGTAATTTTAACATTTTCAAGTCTCACTTTTTTTTTTTTTTTTGCCATGGATAATCCACAGTGTAGGTGATCCAGTTAAATAGTGTGCACTACACAAATGTCTTGTGTATATACATTTACACAGGCATCATGTTTCCTGTCAGCAAAGGAGGAGTGGCCCTGATCTAACTCAGCAATGCTTCATAGAAGCACTATGCTTCTGTGCATCGTGACCCTAGAAGAAGTGATGGAGTCACGTGGACAGGCTCGAGGAAGGGGTTCTGGGGAAAGTGATGATGTGAAGGAGCAGGAAACCCACAAGAGCCACCTCAAAACAACCAAAATCTTTACAAGGAGGAAGTGTTGTGTTCGCCCTCTTGGCCTTGTGAAAATGTGTATTTAGCCATAGTGACGTGAACACTGTTGATCTAGCTAAAATACCGTAAGATGCCAGCAGTGGTGTAAGAATGCTGGATCCTCATTGTTGTGAGAGGTGGAAATCACACAGTGCAGTAGTTAAAAATAAGGCTCTGGAGTCTGACTACCGAAGTTGAAATACTTAATAGTTCTGTAACCCCCAGCAAATTAATTAACCTCTCTGGGCTTCAGTCTTGTGTAGGCATGGTGGCTCACACCTGAAATCTCATCTACTCAGGAGGTGGAGATAGGAAAGATCACTGTTTGAGGCCAGCCTGGGACAAAAAGTTAGTGAGACCCCTATCTGAACTAACAAACTGGACATGGTGTTGCATGCCTGTAATCCCACTATGCAGGAGGCATAGGTAGGAGGATTGTGGTCCAAGGCCGGCCCTGGGGCCAAAAGCATGAGACCCCATCTGAAAAATAACTAAAAGCAAAAAAAACAAGGGTAAGGGTGTGGCTCAAATGTAGCACATCTGTGTGTGTGTGTGGAGGGAGGTGTGGGGAAGACCTGGGCTCAGTTTCTTCCTTAGTAAAATGGATACAATAGCAGATATGCTTCTTTACTGGTTTATTGTGAAAAGTATACAGCATTCTTAGAATTGTGCACATTAATGTTAGCAATGGTGATGACTTATAATTTATAGGTGATGTCTAAAGTTGATAAATGCAGACATTACAAGACATTGCTCCATTACAGGGAATCTGGAGAAAGTCCGAGGAAAGCACTGAGTTAAGGGATTGGCCTTGAAGGGTGTGATGCACAATGGGAACAGCTGTGCATTGAACACTTCTGGTACCATAGTTTGGCGTCTTTACACGATTGCTTTAATAAGTGAAAAGGAGATCTCTGTCAAAGTCTCATAGTGATTAAGAAGTGGACGCATCACATGTGAGACCCTGGGAAATGTCCTGAATGCTACCTGAGGAGTAGCCAACTGCCTGGGTGAATGGAACAAAAGGTGGATTTCTGTGTTAATGCAGTGTTGAAGAAAACCACCTGTGTGTTAGTTAATGGTTTCAGGGTGCTCACGGGACCCCTCCACTCTGCAGTCAGTGTTTGTTTTTCTGTCCACATTCTGTGGTCTTTGCAAGGCTCCACATACAGCCACACTTGAGTGGGAGGGAGAGAGAGTGGGGAGTGGGCTCCCCTTTGGAGTGCAGGACTTACGTCTTAAACCTGGAGTCCTGCAGGAGATGCGTCCTTCCCCGCTTTGATCATTGCTTCATCCTTGTGTCACTTGGTTCTGATGCTGGACTCTCTGTGGTACATGTTAGTCCATTGTCCATTGGAACTCTTTAGGGTGGCGTCTGGCCCCTTGGATATGTTCTTTGTTTTGTTTTCTGGGCATGAAGGCTGGGGTGGCTCTCTTCAAGCTGACCTGGTACAAAACATAGCTGCTCTTGAAATAAGAACCTTGTTGGAATACATGATTCAGTTCATCCACACAGAGTTTTTAGGTTCTTAAAATCCTAACCATTATATAGATGGATGCTATTTTATCTGATCAGTAAACATAAGCATACGCAAACAGAATAAAAAAGATACTCTTAGATCATGCTTAATACTAACAAATCAGAGGAACTTTGCCTGTAGTAAAAGACTTGTGGAAGTTATACAGGTAATGATCATCACAAAAGGCGCTTTTTTTTTTGTTTTTATTTACACTGATGAACTGGAACCTGGGGCCTTGCACCTGCTAAACAAGCAGTCTACCACTGAGCTACATGCACAGCCTTACTGTAAGAGGTTTTAAAATGTTTGTGTTAGTAAAAGCCGCATATTAACTGACTTTTCATTAAAGGAAAGCAAGGTGCTGAGGACTGTCCCTCTGCTAGCAGCCTGCCTCCCCCAGGACAAGTGCAAAGTGAAGATCGGGCGCCGCTTCAGCGAAGAAAGGTAAGCCAGTTAACTGCAGGCAGAAAGAGGCCTTTGCCATGCAGGCTGGAGTCTCCTCACTGCAGTCATGCTGCAGCTGTTACTGCAGTGAGTGTGTGTGTGTGTGGGTACCTTCCTGGAGGAGGAGAGCAGCAAAATGGGGCCAGGGAGTCAGTGAAGAGTCAGTGAGTGTAGGACCTGGGACTTGTGCTGTAGGAGCTAGTTAGTGTATCTGATTAGACTAGGGACTAAGAGGGGACTTTACTGGGAATTCAGAAAGTGTAGTAAGACTTTCATTTTCCCTTCAACATAATAAAGATTTATTTGCAAAATTCTTTTAGAGACACTGAACTTTCAACTGTTTGCCGGAAGCCTGGTACATTAATATTGTATCCTGGGGCCGAAGCCACAAACTTGGAAGACTTTCTATTGGACTCTCCTGTTTATCCCTCCACCCTCATCCTCATTGATGGTACGTGGAGCCAGGCCAAGGACATTTTCTACAAGAACTCTTTGTTCCGGCTTCCCAAACAGGTAAATGAATGCTTTTGAAGAGAGAAAGGACAAAGTGTGATGCTGTATATTATTTATGCTTTCACGAAGGACTGTCAGTATAATGTGTTCACACTGAGTATGTGTGCACAGGTGTGTCTATGTCATGTGTGTTTGGGTGCATTTATATGTATCTATGTATACAAAACTTCCACTCCTGTCACCACGCCTCACTACAGGTCATGTAGTCATTAACTCAGAGAAGTCTCAGGGTTAATTACTTCTATGTGTATTGTGTTTTTTGTTACACAGTTTTATATGTAAATACTCACTTAGTTACTAAATTAACCTGGTTCTTATTACAAATGGCTAATATTTTCAAAGGTACTTTTTTGGTATTTGTGATTATAATCCTATGGTTTGTCCTTCAATTTTGTTTTGGTTTTGGTGGTTGTCCTTCAATTTTCTGGTATAATTAGTCATGATAATATTTGTACTAAAAGTCTTGTATCTTGCAATGAACTTGCCTGACTGTCAGAACATTTTGATACATAGCTGAAGTTATGTTTTATTTAATGGCACTGCATGTATTTCTCTTACTTTAATTATCGGGTCTGGGGACTAAGGTAAGGTTAACTTCACAAGAGGAATTGAGGAGATTTCAATATTTTTCTATGATGTGAAATGGTTTAAATAATTCTGGAATTAATTGCTCCTTAAAATTAGATGAAACTCATTGGTGAGACTATGTGGCCCTGGTGAGGTTAGCATTGGTATCCTTTAAATCCTTTCAAAGTCTTACACGATGTTAGTCAAGCTTTCTACTTACGTCTGGTCCATTTTTAATAACTCTTATGTTTCTCTTCAAAATAATTGTACCTATTTATGGGATCATGTGATGTTCTGATGCATGTGTCCATTGTGTAATGACCAAGTCAGGGTAGTTAGCATGTCTCTCCCCTCAGGGATTTGTCATTTCTATGTAGCAAGGACATATCAACTCTCTTCTAGCTATTATAGTGAAATACACACTACAATACTGCTGATGCGTGTCACCCAGTCTGCAGTAGAACAGCGTCGGTTCCTCCTACCTTGCTGTAACTGTGTACATTGACCTGTCTCTCCCTCCTTCCCTGGCCGTCCTTGTCCCAGTCTCTGCAGAGACTGTCCTATGCTGTTTCCATGAGACACCTTTTTTAGATTCCGCTGTGAGTTGTCATCATATTGCACTGTCTTTCCGTGTCTGGCTTATTTCACATGCTATGATTTCCTCCAGGTTCATTCATGTTACCACAAATGGCAGGATTTCACCCTTTTTTTTCTGGTTGAATCACATTCAATCTCTCTCTTTCTCTCTCTCTCTTTCTACACACACACACACACACACACACACACACACACACACACACGCATTCCACATTTTCTTTTTCCATTTGCTGTTGATAGACACTTAGATTGTGTCTACACCTTGGCTCTTGTGAGTAGTGCTGCAGTCAACATAGGAGTGTGGATGTTTCTCTGTTACACTGCTTTCCTTTCCTTTGGCTGTAAACTGCTAGTAGGATCACAGGTTCACTTGGTAGCTCCAGTGATAGTCTTGAGGGACCTTCATGCTGTTTTCTTTCTTTTTGTTTTGGTGGCACTGGAATTTGAACTCAGCCTGCTCGCAAGGCAGGCACTTTACCACTTCAGCCACTCAGCTAGTCCTTCCAAGCTGTTTTCTGCACTGCTTGATTCCCACGTGTTGTGCGGGTTCCCTTTCTCCACATGCATGCCGGTGTTCTTGTTGTCTGTCTTTTTGATAATAGCCATTCTCATTGGGGTGAGGTTGTACCTAAGCATTTTCCTAATGCTTAGTGATGGCTATTTGTATTTCTTCTTCTGAGAAATGTCTGTTAGAGTCTGTTGTCTGTATTTAAATTGAATTAGTTTCTTTTTTTTTGTGGTACTGGGGCTTGAACTCAGGGCCTTCACCTTGAGCCACTCCACCAGCGCCGCCCCCCCCCCACCAACCCGCCTTTTTTGTGATGGATATTTTCAAGATAGGGACTCACAAACTATTTGCCCGCACTGGCTTTGAACTGTGATCTTCTGATCTCTGCCTCCCAAGTTGCTAGAATTACAGGCGTGAGGCATCGGTGCCCAGCTGAATTAGTTTCTTTGGTATGGAGTTGAATTCTTTGTATATTCTGAGTATTACCCCCTTGTCAGATAGCTTGCAAATATTTTTTTCCATTCTTTACGTTGTCTGTTCACCCTGTTTATTGTTTCCTTTGATGTGCTAAAGAAGCTTTTTTAGTTTGATGTACAAACATTTTGTCTTTTTCTTTTTCAGTACTGTGGATTGAACTCAGGGCTTTGTGTGTGTTAGACAGGAGCTCCATCCACTTGAGCCACACCCCAGCCCTTATTTGTCTGCTTTTGCTTTTGTCATCTATACTTTTGAGGTCTTACTCATGAAATTTTTTTCCCAGACAAATGTTGTGAAGCAGTCCTTCTATGTTTTCATCTAATAGTTTTACAGTTTTGGGTCTTACAGTTAAGTCTTCAGTGCATTCTGAGTTGATTTTTGTATATGGTGAGAGATAGAAGACCATTTTCATTTTTCTATATGCAACATCAGATTTTCCTAGTACTGTTTATGGTTTGTACTTAGAGTACTTCTGTGGACTGAATCATGTCCCTCCCTACCACATTCCTGTGTTGTAGCCCAGACTTCCTGTGTGATGGTATTTGGGGATGGGGCATTTGGGCAGAAGTTAGGTCATGACAGTGGAGACCTCATGATGAGATCGGTGTCCTTAGAAGGAGACATGAGACATCACCTCTTTGCGTCCTTCCCCTCTCTCCGGTTCTGTCTGCCATGAGAGGCCACAGCAAGAAGACTTCCAGGAAGAGCGCTCTTCCAGAAGCCAGCCCTGCTGGCACTTGGTTGTGTAAGCCACCCGAGCAAAGACAAGTACTGAGCATCTTCTTAGAAGATGAGCAGGGAAGGCTGCAGTATTCCTCTTGGTGTAACTTTCAGTGTACCCATTTGGGAGTTGTACTCTTCTGTCTGTTGGCATAGAGATGATTTGTCATTTGATTTCTTTATATCTTTGGATTGTCACTGAGTTCTTAATTCTCAACTGTTATAATATTTTGCCTGCTTTTGTTTTTATTCAATTTGTTGAATTGTGATAAAGGAATGCCAGCTGTAGTGTTTTGAGTCTGTGTGTGTGTGACTTTTTGTGGCTAAATATGTGGTAGATTTTAGTCCATGTTCCAGTAGTATAAAAGTGAACAGTCCTTATTCAGGAATGTCTGCATTTGCATTGTTATTTTTTAAGTTTGTTGACTGTAGTTTTCTTTATGCATTTATTTTTGGTGTATTGGGGCTGTATGATACTTTAAAAGTGTACGAAAAGCTTCTGTCCTTACATATTTTTAACGGCATTGTCCTCTATTGCCTCATAGTCTTTATGTGCTTTAGTGAGGAAAACAGTGAAACCCTGACTTCTGAGGCTTTCATTTCAAGTACTTTCTCTTTTTCATTCCCTTTGACCCAAATGTCACAGGTTTTAGATGAGCCTCCCATGCGTCAGTGCATGAAGCAGGTCCATGTGGTAGCTGATGCATTGAGTTCTTCAGCAGGCCAGTCCTAATTCCAAGTGCTTCACATGAATTCATTCACAAGTGTCATTAATAAGATAGCAGATAAGAAAACAGAGGCCAGAAAATAACTTACTGTACATCACATAACTGTTTTAATAGCGTAATGCAATATGAACTCATTGAGTTTAGAGCCAGAGCTTATGGTCTTAGCTACAATGGTGCACTCCTTCTAAAGGGAAAACTCCCAGATAAAATTTTATGTTTGTGTTATATTTAGATATCACATAATACAGAGAGAAAGTGTAACAACTGTTACATCTGTAAAACTTTTAGCCCATGTACTTGAATGTTTTTCATGATATATCTTGTATACACTTCTTTTTCATGATTCTCAGAGATGAAACACTTACTCACTTCCAAAAGATCAAAATCTTCTTTTAAAAATGCATTTCACTAAAATAGTTTTCCTTCTTTAAGTTGAGCAGCAGAATTAAAGCATTTTCCCAGTCCCCCATGCCTTACGTTTCTGTCAGCTTTTCCTTTTGTAGTTTTTGCAAACTAGAAGCTAGTATAAATCGGTATTTATTTAATCTTGAGATAAGCAGTGGTTCACAACCACAGGACAAGGCGAAAATACCCAAAGGAAACAGCAGGTGGATTTGACCCTGTGGTGGAAATTACCAGCACAAACTAAAGAGCAAAGGCCAAGGTTTTCTGGAGGACTGTGAACCAGCTTAGACCTGCTAGAGGTGAGCAGGTAAAAGTAAAGATCTCAATAAAAATGGGCCAGAAATAGGAAAAAATGAAAATCATCATTAACCCTGGAAGTCATGCAGTGAGACACCAAGTTGTAGACTTAGGTTAAAATAACTTCAAACTTACAGAAAAGTTTCATGAATAATGCAAAGCACCCAAGCCCCTCTCTTCCCCAGGCTTCTCAATGTTAACCTCGTGCCCTGTTTGCATGCTGTCTTCCTCCTCCGTGTCTGTCTCTGACTCTTCCTCCTCTCATGTGTGTGCATAGTTATGTTTTTCTTAACCATCTGAGAGTAAGCAATACATATCCAGATTTTATTCTTTGAAATAGAAATTATGCTAGTTCTAGACCAGCAGGATTATCTTTTCCTAAATATTTTTAGGAAATTAAAAATAGTCAGTAAAGACCCAGTTCAGTTTATGAAAGCTCATTCATATTTCTTGGTATCGATTGATCTTAATATACTGAAATATAGATCAGCTTAGAAATAATATTATGTATGACTTTTTAGTCTCATATCCAGTCCAGTACATACATACACATATACATATATATACATGCATGCACATGCATATATATGTATACACACATGCATATATACATACATATATACATGTACATATATATATTTTTTAGTCAAGTGCTGCTTAATAACTTTTTATTCAAGGACAGATTGCATATACAGTGGTAC